CACAACTAATCTTTGTCAATTTAACATTAACATTTAACAATTTTAATAGCATTTCCATCATACTCTGGGTCATTTGACAATATTTTGTTTTCTACACACAATTTATACAATGTATATTATCTACCAAGCATTGAGGTGTCTTTGCACAGACAGTATGGCTTAATTAGACTGTTGTGTAGCTATGTAACAGTTATGACTGCTAAAATGTTGTTGTATAAAAGCATGGTTTACTTTAGTGCTACATTGAGAAAAACATACTAACAAAGAGAAAGTATATAGTAGCTGATACAGAGTATCGCAGAGTAAATTTCAAATAAGCAAGTCAAATTACTCAACAAACAATGTTATCTTTGCATAACAGAATTTACTTAAAGCAATAGTTCACCCAAAAATGGAAATGTACTCACCATTTACTCATGCTCAAATGGATCCATTGGGAGTTAAAAACAAAACAATATATTCTGAAGAAAGCTAAAACCTGTAACCACTGACTTCCAAAGTATAGGAAAAACAAATACTATGAAAGTCAATGGTTACAGGTTTCCAACTTTTCATTGTTTAAAGCAGAAAGAAACTCAAAATGGTTTGGAACAAGTGAAGGGTAAATTAAATGATGAATACAGAATTATCATTTCTGGGTGAACTATCCCTTGAGGAACCTGAGCACAAACACTTCCAAAAGTAAACCTAAGTATTTTATTCAGTGAGTATAGGTGCTTTTTTATTTTTATAAATAAACCCATTTTAAAGGGAAACATGGTAAAAAATCTGCCATCTTTATCTTATCAATTAATAATTAATCAATATCTTATCAATCCACTGATCAAACATTCAACAACCCATGGTTTACATATTGATATGTAACCTTTACTGTATGTACAAGAGGTTCATTTAGACGATATTGCCCCAACAACTTGTACTACCAGTTCTGAAGTACAAGGTGGGGGAAATTCCACAATTAAGAACAATGTGTTTGTACTCTTGAAATGTAACATATATAGATGTAAGTTATATAAGGTATATATATATATGTAAGATGCCACCATTGGGAGTATAGGAGTAAAAAAGTTTTAAGCATGTTTAATCAGTTGCATACAGTATATTCTGAAGCACAGTATAAAAAAATACTACATAAAATATCTGAAAGAGAAAACACTGATCAAAATAATAGAATATTTTCAGATTGTATCCTTAAAATCCTCTAATTGTATGGGCCCTATCATATACACCCAGCGCAATGCAGCGCAAGGTGCGACGTATTTGTTGTTTGCTAGTTTCAGCAAGAGTCATTTTGACGTTTTCCGCCACGCTGTTTAAGTAGAAAATGCATTTGCGCTCATATGTGAGCCCATAGGCATTCTGGTCTAAAAAAGGAGGCATGTTAAGGCACGTTGCTGGCGCTTTGTTATTTTGAGGAACTATAATAGGCTACACAATAGACCAGATCAAAGCTGGTCTAAAGTCCAGCACAGAGTGCATTAGTTGTGCGCCTTGCTTACACATTGCTTAATACAGACAGGATGTACAACAATACGCAAATATCTTTACATATGAAAAAGAATGAAAACACTAAGGATTATTTAGGATATAAATATAAAGGATTAAAATTATTACAAAACATTTTATTTTCTAGCCTATATACAAAAACTACTGCCTTCCTGCCTTCTTTATCACGGGAGGGTTTTTTAGTTTATTTATAACAATTAGCTTTTGTATAATGTTGTTATTAGTAGTATTATTGATTATATCCATTTTTATATTTGTTTTATTAAAAACAAGCTTAGATTTGCCCACCTGTCAGGTTTGGGACCATATGCGGCACAGCATGTGTATTTGGATATAACTCAGTTTTTTTAACATACTTCGGTATATATTGTTCATTTGTTTGCTGGAAATTATGACTGAATTTAGAACTAGTTTTGAAAGAAATCTTTGCACTTAGCAAACAATTTTAATAATGTGTAGGCTAATGGATATCTGTGTGTACAACACATTCCCTTATCCATGAAAGTAAATAATGAGGAGGCTCTGAGGAGGATATAATGAGGAGGATCTCTCATTCTCACGCTGTAGATGCTCTGTTTAACTGTTTTCTTGCTAGTGAAACGCTTAGTTTTTCCACTTACAAAGTCCCTCATGTAAATCGCAAATGCGCTGTGGCGCGACACAACTGACTCTTAAAGAGAATGGGAGATGAGACTCTGATTGGTTTATTCTCAAAACACACCTATAACTTATTAGGAAAATAAGCTCAACCCTTTTAAACCATGCGCCACGGTGCAAATCGGATTTTTCCGTCCTTAAATTTGCAAAAGTGGATTCCGACACGGCCTTATTGCTTTTGCACCCTGCGCTTTATACTTTGCAAATTGATCATCAAAATAGAGCCAACAAAGTCTGCCATGTAAACAGCAAATTTTAAAGAGAATGGGAGATGAGACTCTGATTGGTTTATTCTCAAAACACACCAGGACTCATTAAGAGAATAAGCTCAACCTTGTTAGACCATGCGCCACGGCGCAAAGCAGATTTTTCCGTCCTTAAAAAAGCAAAAGGGAATTCCGACATGCCCTTAATGCTTTTGCACCCTGCACTTGGATCTTCAAATAGAGCCCTAAATGTTAATCTGCACCTGGTGGTCATTTCTATAATTATCTGACAATACTGAATCGGCAGCTATACTTCACAGTTTTCACTGACTCTGTAAGATGGTGAGCCGCTTTAAATTGATTGAAAGTTTCTGACAGCTGGTTTTCCAGATGAAATATGTTATAGCCTTTTTATTCTCATGTCTTCATCTAAGCTGCTTTGACACAATCTACATTGTAAATGTTCTATGGACCCTTTTCAGATTTCCAGGTTTCTCAGCAGTGTAAGGTGTCATAGTTGAGTAAACTTAGAACGCATTGAATGGGAGAGTACAACAAATATCTTTTTAGTATCCTATTTGCTTAAATAAAAAAAAAGAAAAACTCAACAATATAGTGTTATCAAGACTTTCAGGAAAAAGATGTTGTGAAACAATGTGTGAGACTGATAACAGCACCCAGATTAGAGAACAACATAAAAATTTTTGTTCCGCCCATATGACGCTACATTAGAAATGCTGGTAATTAGCGGTATATTTTGTAATTTGAGGCAAAGATGATTTTATACATAAAACATGTAAATATAATTTTTTAAATAAAAATATTTAAAATTTTTGTAAGGATTTAAGATGCTGATGGTCATTAAATGTGCCTTAACAATGTTGTCAAAAGGGTTCATAAAAATTAAGATGGCTTGACTTTCTGGGCTTTGAATGAATCAGGACCCTTGCTGTCTATTGATGGCCAGCAAGCTCTCAGATTTCATCAAAAATGTCTTGATTTCTGTTCTGAAGGCAAACAAAGACGTTGCAGGTTTGGAAGGATATGTGAGTGAATAATTGATGACAGATACTAGATTTTTAGGTTAACTATCCTTTTAATGGATGTACACAGATTATAGTTTTCAACATTCTTCAAAATATCTTCTTTTGTGTTCAACACAAGAAGGAAACTCATGAAGGGTCGGAACCTAAGTTAAATGACGAGTACATTTAAAAAAATGCTGGTAAACTATTAGATTGTTCTTCAGCCACGTGTTCATTCACTGCACCCCATCTCCCAGTAAATGTCATGCAGAACAATAAGCCCCAGCACTGGTAAAGCAGTTTCTGATTCCTGATCTAAACTTGATTAGGAATCTTTTTTTATGGCACAAAATGTATGCCTAACCATAAGTTTCCTAATTTTGACAGCATAAACCTAAAGAAAGTTGCATTGTAATTTTTATTTGTGCTAAATTGAATTATTTACTCTTATTCCCATCTCTAAATATTTTAATAATCAAAATAATAACTTGTCTTATAATACTAGCTTGATAAAGAAAATTTGACTAACCTCAAAACTGTTTTGACTTACAATACCTCACAAATTATGAATAAAATGAAATGGCAACACTAGAAAAAAGAATGTTGTGGCATGATCTTGAGGGTCATCTTACCCTGTCTTATGCTAAAGAACAAAGTATAAACAAACATGCATACTGTACCAGCCTGGAGGCATATTTTTATCACAAATATATAACCACTGTATATTGTTGTCTACTGATAATGTCTTTAAAGATATACTGGTGATTAAAAATAGGGTTTATCAATGTCACCTCATAATAAGGTCCTGAGATGCATGTGACAAAGCAAAGGACAATATAATGGATTAATAGATATCTTACGTCACTAAAGTTTTTTCAGTGTCTTTCTTGATTATGTCTGATTATGATTCATCTCAGATCAAACGAACATTTCATTTGTTATTTTGAAACATCTTTATTAAAGTGTAAAAAAAATCATTCCTTTGTGCATCGGCGATGACGATAAAAGCCAGACAAAAGTCTCTATATACCTTTAAGTAATCACAAAACAAACAGTGATTCATAAAAAAACCCTCCATTAAAAATGATGTCAATCTGAAGTAATCTTTTAGAAGGCAAATAAAACGATGTCAAACATGGTTTTCAAAGACATCAAACCCATGTTCGGTTTACATCCTGAGATAAAAAACGCCCAATATACTATGAAAAGACACTATAACATCCACAACCCGAAACCAGGAGTGACGCTAAATGCTGTGAAAGAAAACATCAATCATGAACCATCATCATACGTCACTCCATGGTAATATCAACTCTTAGTGTTGATAGTCCACAGTTTTTACAAACCACAGCTCTTTTCCTACCACAACACGAGCTACTGAAATAGGTATTGCTTGACCTTCAGTTTGACGATAGCATGTCAACTGGGTACCAGCAGTCCGCTTCCAGATTACAGCCAACCACAACAAACACACCCTTCACTCAATGTGAATGTGTGTGTGATGAGGACAAAAGGTGCACCTTTTTGAGCTTACTCACTGGAGAACCTTGTCATTGGTATAGCAAGGTAAATATTAGCAGTATGAAAGTATAGCGATGATTAGTTTCGGACACGTCTGAGGTCTGAGGAAGAAGTCAGGAATACTCTAGTTAGGATTTCCAAAATGGGATATAAAGTTCTTGCCTTCTTCGTCTTATTCTGTGCACCAGGTATTTATTTTCCTTTCATTTAATTGTTTTTTTTTCAATTATTCTAAATGTTGTATGTATTTTTATTAACAACAACGCAGAGAGGAGAACTGTTTGAATGTTGCTGGAAAGTAATTTCATATAAATATTTAGTCCAGAATTTAATTAGTTTGCATTTTTAACGCTTCTGTGGGACCACAATTCTACAGCAATATCTGATTTTCATTAGTTTATTCATTAGTTAGTTCATTAGTTGATTTTTCAGTTAGCATTTCAGTAACCACTGTCATTTTTTTCTTCAATAGATCCATTTTGTCCATGTCTAAATATATCAGTTTGGATTTGGAACAGATTTTACTTGTAATGTTCCATGTAAGACTAAGTAATATTGATCTAGGATTAGATCAATATTACTACTATATGATATAAGAAATATTTAGTAACAAATTGCTTTTTACGTTCAAAATTTTTATTATTTTTAAGTCATATGAAGTTAATAATGTACTGTAAAATAACATTTATTTGACTTTATTCTGGTTCTGTCTTCTGACTGCAATTTGAATTTTATACATCAACGACACATTTGAAGTCAAAATTATTACCCCCCTTTGAATTGTTTTTCTTTTTTAAATATTTCCCAAATGATGTTTAACAGAGCAATGAAATTTTCACAGTATGTCTAATAATATTTTTTTCTTCTGGAGAAAGTCTTATTTGTTTTATTTTGGCTTAAATAAAAGTCATTTTTAATTTCTTAAAAGCCATTTTTAGGTCAAAATTTTTAGCTCCTTTAAGCTTTTTATTTTTTTTCGATAGTCTACAGAACAAACCATCATTATATATACAATAACTTGCCTAATTACAATAATCTGCTTATTAACCTAGTTAAGTCTTTAAATGTCACTTTAAACTGAATAGAATTGTCTTGAAAAATATCAGTCAAATATTATTTACTGTCATCATGTCAAAGATAAAATAAATCAGTTATTAGAAATGAGTTATTAAAATTATGTTTAGAAATGTGTTGAAAAAAAATTTCTCTCCGTTAAACAGAAAAATAAACCGGGGGATTAATAATTCAGGGGGGTTAATAGTTCTGACTTTAAACTGTACATATAGTGTCCAGATTACTCCTAAAGTTAACAATAACTTAATTTGATATATGCTGTTCATTAAAATACTCTGTACTCACCTGTTTGGATAATCACTTTGCTATTTTTCTGTCTTTTTAACTTCTTCAACATCAAACACACTACATATAAAGAAAAAATATATAAATACAACTACTGGAAACAAGCAACGAATATGCAATGCAAAAGCCACATGTAAATCAGCAGACTTATTTCCATTCAAGAGTTTTTCTTACTTTCATATCTGCAGTATGGCTCTGACCGGCTCTTCTGCCTCCCCTTAGGTCTTTGTCAAGTGAATGTGGTTCCATCAAATAACCCAGTGGCAGTCGGGAGCAATGTCACCCTAGATGTGAATTCGTCCATGCCCATTACAGTTGGGCTCTGGTTGTTTGGGCCTAGTACATTGTTCATGTGGTACATGGGGGACATTATTCCGGGTAATAGCCTCCAACCGGGAGTATATTTTAACAGCTCTACATATCAGCTCACCTTATCGGCAGTAACCCTGGAGAGTTCTGGCGTGTATGTGCTGGATGTATATAAACCCAATCGGATCAGATCAGAGATTACGTTGGAAGTTCAGGGTAAGTGGAGTTTCTTACTGTACAGTACAAAACTAAATGAAATATTTAAAGAATTCATCCACATACAGAAAAAAAATAATTGTTGAATAGATTTTTATACAGATACTATAAGGGAATTTCTTAATTACAAATCAAAGCAGGTAAAAGCAGTAGACTGAAATTGTATTTTCTTGTACAAAATACTTAGAGTAAATTAAGTGAAGTTTATTCATAAACTAATTTCGAGAGGATCACATGCTTATTATTTATCACGGCCAGTCTTGCATATGCTAATCACTATCTTCCAATCATATGAGCCCTAAGCTACTATAAATAGCCACAGTTTTCAGTTCACTTTATCTTCGTTTGGAAGAAACCCCCCTCCTCCCCTATTCTCCTCCTTTACCTGTGATTGGGCGGCACGGCGGCCCCGTGGTTAGCACTGTGAGCCACACAGCAAGAACACTGCCGGCCCTGGTTCCACAGGACCGGTGGGTGTTTCTGTGAGGAGTTTGTATGTTCTTCCCGTGTCCGCGTGGGTTTTCCCCGGGTTCTCCGGTTTCCTCCCACCATCCAAAGACATTCAACATGCATAACAATCAAGCTTGTCTAATCCCTTGCGTTCCCTTAGCTACAGCGGCAGGGGAGTTCTGAGATCCACCGAGCTCAGGCTCCCCTCTTGCTCTGCCAACGGGAGGAAGCCCCGGGCTCAAGGAGCCCTTGAGCTCGGGGCTCTCTCCCGGGACAGCATGCCAAACAAGCTTTGGTAAATCATCAGCTAAGTGTGATGATTACATTCAGCTACATTCAGGATATATTTACAATTATCATTGCTTGTTTATACAAATCTAAAGGATCACTCAGATCAATAGGACTGCATAAATTAGAGATTTACTCAAAGCGGGTGATTCAGATACTATTCCACCCAGCTGGAATCAGCTGCTAGGAGCAAATGTAACCAGGGCTGCGTTTTCCAATATAGTTGACTTTTAGTAGGCTACTAAGTACATCTTAAAGGTATACCATTTTTTGGTGTGTTACTCAAACTGTACCTTAAAAAGGCTGCTTAAATTCCTTACTTACAATGTTGCAAGATGCTGTCCCTGGTGCTGATGCTGAGTTGTTTGATATGGATGGTATGACTGTTTACATAATCCTGATCTACTCTTGCAAAATACAGTATAATCTTGTATAATAAAACTATGGTCAGTTTCTGTATAGCCTAAATCTAGTTTTTAACACTGAATATTTTCCATATAGTTACTTCATCAGGCAGACAAACAATAACGATTAATAATAATAATAATAATAATAATAATAACAGCAATATAAACATAAAAAACTATCAATCAGGAACCTAAAAATGCAAAAAACTAAGTGCCATCAGAATTTTTCTCTTTTCTTATAGGCTCCTGTGTGTAGTAGTTTCAGTTATTTCAATTTTATGTCAAAGGATAGATACATTTCTTTGTTTAAAGTAAAATAACTGAAAGCAAACATAGGGAGTTGAGAAAAAGGCTTATTTTAGAAGAAAATTTCAGACAGAACAACTGGTTGTTTTGCATCTGAACTCTTATTATATCAAAATTTTTCAAATACATTTAAACATATTACATTACCCATATCTACAGCAATCGTTTATGGAGTCAATACAGATATCTATTGGTCAAAGATTTATTGATCAATAAATGCCAATAAAAAAACAGACTAGTGTGAAATTGAATACCTGGCATTTGTACAAACTCAGACTGTACAACTGCAAAGACTTAATCTTCTTTTACCTTCTAGAACCCGTCGGTAACGTAAATACAACTGTAAACACAACAAACCTGGTGGAGGTGAACGACACCGTGTACTTCACCTGCTCGGTTACAACTTCGCCGGTGTGGTTTTCGTGGCTGAACGGCAGCTCTGCGGTCAAAGATGGCGGGAGAGTTCAGCTCCAAAACAGTGGACAAACTCTTATAATCAACGGAGTGACTCGGTACGATGAAGGACCATTCAAGTGTGTTGTGGTAAACAACATCAGCAGCCAGCAGAGTGTTGAAATGAAACTCAATATAAGCTGTAAGTATGACACAAAATACATGTTTCAATACATGCAGTTGGGAAAACCAAGTGGCTTTTGTAGAATACACAGACAAAAAAATAAACACATCAAGATAATCTCATTGGATTATGCTGTTAATATGTCTTGATATATATATATGTATATTAGGGGTGTCAAAATTAATCGTTTCTTCTGTGCATCGCGATGCTGACGCGGACAATTCGGTATCAGTTCAGTAATAATCATAACCGGTTATTACTGACGTCATTTACCTCATATGTGTTCTGTCGTGAGGGAGGCGATCGCGAGTATTTACAGCGTTTTAACTACTTAAAACTCATAAACTGTGCACAATTTCACTGTGTGTGTTTGCTGGATCAGTCTTTCACTGACATATACAACAATACCCCCTATTTCACTGAGATCGAGAGAATGAAAGTAGCCTACTCCATTTCTCTCTTTCTCTCTCTCTCTCGCTTTCGCTCTGTCTCTGTCTCTCTCTCTTTCTCACACACACACACACACACACACAGCGGCCCATTTGACCTGCTGGGGTGGCTTTTCTTCTCCTCTCGGCTGTTTTCTCCATCGTGTCTATCATGCATCAGCTGTGAGATCGCCGCTGCCGCCTGCCGCTTATCAGTGTCACTTATCTGAAGAGCGTAGCTGCAAGAGCCAATCACAACCGTTTTGTTGAGGGTGTGACCAATCAAAGAAGTGTAAGAGAACTAGACAAGGATCAGAAATTGAGCTGGATATTTATATTTGTTTATATTATTTGCTTAATGCTCGTTTTGTTTAAAGTTAAAATCAAAGAGGTGTAAGAGAACTAGACAAGGATCAGAAATTGAGCTGGATGTTTATATTTGTTTATATTATTTGCTTAATGCTCGTTTTGTTTAAAGTTACAGTTTATATATCTGACTGTATTAAAAAACAAAATTGTATTACAAATAATATATAAATATAAATGCTGCTGTGAAGAAAATATAAAACTGAGTATGGAAAGCATCGTCAATGCACCGTGATGCACCGAAATATCGAATTGAACCAAATTGATGGCATGATAATCGTAACCGAACCGAACCGTGAGACTAGTGTAGGTTCACAGCTCTAATATATATATATTAGATATAGTATATAATTAAAATACCACTAGATAGAGACTTTTGCTTCTTAAGTGCATGTTTGAGATCTGAAAGAACTTGGACGATATGCACAGCTGTTTCTCAGCCAACTTCCGGTGAAAGCTTTATGTGACTATTTCAATTTCATAAGGTTCCGTTTGCAGCATTGATGTTGTAACGTAATTCAAATATAATCTGTTAAATAGACTTAAGCATCCATTTAGCGTAAAAGAGACGAAAGACAGCAGAAAGTGCAGAAATTCCATTGAAAACACTGGGGTAAAATTAATATCCATATTTTAAAGACATTGCACGGAAAAATATCATGTAATGCAGTGCTTTTTGTTTGGTCTGATACCCATTTTATATCGTATCTCAGCCAGGCAGTGAAGGTTTTTAAAGAAATCAGATTTTAAACGTGGCGATTTTGTATTTTTGTATGGGATGACAATTTACTGGAAGCCCTGGGACTGGCTGACTGAAATCAGAAGTCCATGTGCATATTCTCCATTTACATAAAAAAAAATTATATATATATATATATATATATATATATATATATATATATATATATATATATATATATATATATATATAAATCAAGTAAAATTAATAGACCCTAGCATACAGCAGTAAATTGATGAAATCTTAAGATCTGTAAAGATCTATAAAATGAGATGTGTCTTTTTTTAAATACAGTTCTATTATTAATTATAGCACACTGATTTAGCAAATTCTATACAAAGATTATTATTATATTTTAAGTAACCTGGTGGTTATGAAGGAAAATGGGGGAAAAATGTTACAAAAAGCATGGTGAAGGATGGGCAGCTGACAATAAGTGGGCAGTTCATGCTTCAAAAGCTCAGTGGTCACAGTTTAATTGTTTTTGTATGTTTAGATGGGCCCGGAAACCTGACACTTACTGCCATGCCAGAGAAAACAGTATACATTTCTGGTTCAAACTTTTCTCTGTCATGCTCTGCTGACTCCAAACCGACCGCTACTTTCAACTGGATGTTGAATGGCAATCTTCTGAATGTCAATGGTCCGGTTTATGTATTTACAAAGGCTACTCAAAACCAGTCGGGAGTGTACACCTGTGGTGCCCAAAACGCAGCAACACTCAGATATGCTGCAGTGACAAAAACTATTCGTATAGTTGGTGAGAACACACTAAAAATATGGTCTTCTAAATTCCCTTCTGATTATGCATATCATTTTAATCTCCAATACATCTTTGTTTGTTTATTTAGATCCAATATCAGAAGTGGTAGTGAATTCAACAAGCTTCCCAGTTGAAAATGTACCTTTTAATCTAAGATGTAATGTTGTGGGACCAGTGGACTCCATTCAGTGGATGAAGGACGGAGTGTACCTGTATACTGACAACACAACCACGCTCTCTAGTGACAACTCAACCCTGAGCTTTAAACAACTCGCTCTTAGTGATGACGGACTGTACCAGTGCACAGCTAGTAATGCAGTGAGCGACATGACCCAGGCCTATAACCTGACTGTCAACTGTGAGTATGATTGAAATGACCAGGACATGCTTTTTCCCTTTGTAAAATACTGTATGATTTCCTCCAACCACAATTTTCTTTTTCTTGAAAATTCTAAGCTAAAAATTCTGTCATTTTCTGTCACATCCAGAGTGCACGGCTATTCACCTTTTAAAAAAATAGATATTTCGCCTGTCACTTCCCAAGAATGGTGCTCTAGGATTATGCAAAACCAGTTTTGGTTCAGATGATGAACTTAACGAAAATGAAGGTGTAGATTGTATAGTGTTTGTTAAAGGCAGAGCTTCTCTATAAACAAAGGTGAAAACACCTGCAAGTTCTGAAAGAGATCAAACCTCAGCCATGTAAGGAAAAGTAACTCAAAAGTAATCCGTTCGTTAAGTGTTACGTCACGCGAAGCGGCTTTTGGGTCTAAGCACTCTATTCAACTGTTTGGGAAGACTCATGAAATGGTAACTAGCGTTTACAAAGCGATTTAATACTTTCGAAAATCTGAATGTCCATGTCTAATGGCCGGAAAGTGATTCATTTTTTTATAAATTGTTAAAATTTTGGTTTTTGTCATGCAGTAAGCCCAGAGATTTTTCTGTACACTATGGCTGCGACCAAAACCACCTACTACTCAGTAGCTACTGCATTTGAATTTAAATATACTACTAAGCCGTTAGAAAAGTATGTTCCATACAGTATGAATGCGAATGAATGCATGGTCATGTGACCTACCTGCGTCAGTTGCGTCACTTCACTCCCATTCATGAATTCTCTCGTGGGGCATCATGGGATAGTGCAGCATGCATGGGATGCGCACTGCAGAATATCGCCGGATGTAATAAGTCATCCGGGTACTTCTCGCATACTGATTTTGGAATTCTATGAATTCGGGCCTACTGCTCGACTCGCATACTGATTTTAGCGTACTGTATAGAATGGAAGTATGCGGACTTTATATAAAATTCACTTTAATGTGTGATTTGAATTAAAAGGGATCATAAACGGATAAATTTTCAACCCAAATGAGTGGCGGCTTGGACCCAGAAACAGTATTATATACGTCGCAAACACGTCACCATTTAACAAATGGATAAAACACATTATTTTCCATAAAAAGTAACGCAATTAGTTGCTTTCTTGGGAAAGTAACTCAATATTACAATGTACGACTTTCAAAAGTAACTTTCCCCAACACTTATTACACCTTCAACTAAAATACATGAATAATAATAGTAATAATAATAATAATAATAATAATTATTATTATTATTATTATTACTGCAATTTAAAAAGCCCTGAGACATTTAAAATTCTAAGACATGTATAATAATTATTTTGTTATTTTTTATTATTATTAATAATACTTATTTTTGAATTATTAATTAGTGTTATGATAACATGTTTTTATATACTCTGCTTTACTAATTTATGCTGGACAGGTCTTGCTTATTTATGAATGGCAAGGGTTGGTCATATCTGTTTGTCTTATACATTGTCTGTAAAAAAAATATGAGTGCACTAGTATCCGCTAGTTAAGTGTGACGTCACGCGGAGCGGCTTCCGGATCCAAGCGCTCTATTTAACTGAATGTGAAGATTCATTAAATGGTAATAATAAACGTTTACAAAGCGTTTTAATACTTTCGAAAATCACGATCGCAATATATATGTCCATGCCCAATATCCGATGGCCAGAAAGTAATTCATTGTTTTATAAATTGTCAAAATTTTGGTATTTGTTATGCAGCAAGCCCAGCAATTGTTGTGTACACTATGACTTTATGTACAATTAACTTTAATGTGTGATATAAATAAAAAGTGATCATAAACTAATGATTTCTCAACTCAAATGAATGGCGGCTTGGACCCGGAAACAGTATACATACGTCACAAACACGTCACCACTTAACAAGCGGATAACAAGAATCATACAATTATAAAGTTTTTGTATTTTGTAGATGGCCCAATCAACACAGCGGTCTCCGGTCCATTTGTAGCAGCAGTGGGAGATAGTGTGACCTTCAGCTGTTCCTCTAACTCTCGTCCTCAAAGTCAGTACAGCTGGTATTTCAATGGCTTTAATGTGTTCAACGGCCCAGTGTACGTAACTGCAGCTCTCCTACAAAACCAAAGTGGACTGTACACCTGCATGGCCTTTAATAGTATCACAGGCAAAACCAACAACAATTCAATGACATTAACCGTCCTTGGTAGGTCAATCAATACAGTACATTGCTTAACAAATTTCTTTTTAAATCTGAAATGGTTGTCATTATGGTTTTTGTTTTGGTATGAAATGTAGTTCCTGTGAGCAATGTTGTGGTGAATATTAGCGATGGACAGCAACCAATCTTCAGTAACCCATTCACATTAACCTGCACGGCCAGTGGAAATGTTGATTACATTCAGTGGATGTTGAACGGTGCAGTCATTTATCCTCAAGATGGAATCACTTTCTCAAGTGACAACTCAACCTTGAGCTTCAGTAATCTCAATCTCAGTGATAACGGAAATTATCAGTGTGAAGCAAGTAATGATATCAGCAATATGACCAGCACAGCCTATGACTTGATGGTCAACTGTAAGTAACATTTTTTATCCGTCCATTTGAATCAGTGTTCATTGAAACCATTTTCAATGCATTGCACATATGGTATCTTACAGATGGTCCATGGAACGTAACACTTAATGGCCCAAACATGGCAAGAGCTGGATCCACTGTGACTTTCAGCTGCACTGCGGATTCTTATCCTGCAAGTCAGTTCAGCTGGTTCTTTAACAGCTCGTGGGTGGGAAATGGTCCAGTTTATGTGACTGCACCTCTGTCACACAACAGCAGTGGACAGTACACATGCATGGCCTTCAATGCCATAACAGGCAGCAACAGCAGCTCTTCAGCTGTGCAGTTAAATGTAATTGGTAAGATGAATCTCTGGGGACAAATTGTCTTTTAAATATTCATATTTAAAAGAATTGTATATTTTGCTTAATTAAGAAATTCTCTCTTTTTCCTAAATGGTTGGTTCACTCAAAAAATAAAATGATTAATTACCCTTGGGTCCTTCCAAAACCCATGAAACCTTTGTTCGTCCTTGCAACACAAATTAAGCTATTTTAATTGAAATTTGAGAGTTCCCTCAACCTTCATAGACAGCAACTGTCCGTCTATCTAAATAAATTCCAGAAAAGTTAAAAAAAAAAAAAAAAACATACTTAAAACAATATGTGTCTTTAGTGGTTCAATAGGAATATTATCAAGGTACAAGAATACTTTTGTGTGCACAGTAAACAAAAAATAAACATCTGATGAACTGCATCCCAATCATCACAAATACTGCATAACCTGCCTATTGGAACCTGCATGGACCCAAGATTCTCACAGAAATCAGTCAAGTTTGGTGAAGGAAAAGTAATGTTTTGCAGTTACATCTAGTATGGAGACATGCAAGAGATCTACAAAGTGAATGGCAATATCAACAGCCTGATGTATCAAAACACTTGTGCTGCCCATTACATTACAATCCACAGCAGAGGACAAATTCTTCAGCAGGAAAGCGCTCAGTCTCATACTTCAGCCTCCACATCAAAGTTCCTGAAAGCAAAGAAGGTCAAGGTGCTCCAGGATTGGCCAGCCCAGACACCAGACATGAACATTATTGAGCATGTCTAGGGTAAGATGGAGGAGGCACTGAAGATGAATCCAAGAAATGTTGATGAACAAGAACACTTCTTTGCCATTTCAGATGACTTTAAGTTATTTGAGTCAATTGCAAAGATGTATGGATGCAGTCATGGACTCAATGACCCATGGGGGTCATACACAATATTAACAATTTTTCCACTGCACCATGACTTTATATTCTATACTGTACATTAGTTCTGTTAAGTGACAAGACTTTTGTCGAAGCAAAGTGAAACCTTGCTGTCCTAATTAAATAACTAAAAAGTCATAATCATATTTTATTTAGATAAAATAAGAGGAATTTAGAGGCTTGAGGCTTACTGATGCTAAGGAGAAGAAACTGTTGAATAAAGCTTTTAGTTTTGTTCTTTGTGTGAACAAAAGTATTATAGCTTGGTAATATTCTGAATGACTAAAGGTATATATTCTGTTTTGAGGAGGTTTTTTGGTATACTTCTGCACTTTGCGTCGGGACTATTGCTGTTTGTGGAGGCTAAAGAGAGCTTGCAAGTTTAAATGAAAAATATCATAGGCTGTATTCAGAAGAAGAACAAAGGTCTCAGGGATTTGGAACAACATGAGGCTAAGCAATTAATAACATGATTTTCATTTTAAAATGAACTAACCCTTTAACTTTTTATGCTAACAGTGCATTAGTTCAAATATATTTAAATTACACAGCCAGGTTGCAAGTGTAATTAATTACGCAAATTAGACTTTGCTTGTTTGTGTTTGATTTACTAAAAAAAAACAATTAAATAAGAATCATTAGTTCTGTTTTCTGTTAAAAAAGAGCATGTTTCACATACAGTGAAATTCAGAATTTACCATTTAACATTAGACCACACTTACTTTCAATGTATGTGCAAAAAAAAAAAAAAAAAGTTTTTCGGTAACACTTTATAATAACTACACACTATAAATCATTTATTAAGCATTAGCAAATAGTGAATTCATTATTCGTTAAGCATTAACTCTACAATAATAAACGTTAGTAAGCAGTTTATAACTGCAGCTACAAATGCTCTATTCTTGACTTAAAACCATATTTAAAATGTGCGTAATAATTGTATTTTCATACTTAGTAAATTATTTATTTTTCATTACTAAATTAAGTATCACATTATTTACAAACCATTTGTATTTATGAGTAGTTGAGGGTTTTTAGGATCATTCAGAATGAGTTAGTAAACGATTAATAAACTATTGAAATTAACGTTTATATGTCTTATTATTCAGGCATATATTAATGGTTACTAAGTATATTAATAAATGCTTTATTAACTTAACTTCACCTAGTTTTGTGACCTAATCTAAAGTGAAGACTATTCATGCTTTATAAATACTTTATAAATGACAGATAAAAGCTCAGTTAAATTCTAAACAGGAAAAATGACATTATTCATTCCTATTTAATTAAAGATACACAAATGAAACTGTACTTCAAATAAAAAATAAATCTTTGCAACCTGATCTAAAATAGAATCACTGTAGACTTTAAACATTACATTTTATTACATTGTTTAACTATTATATTGTTGTTTTTTCCAGTTTTGTTGTATTTTGACACTACTGTTATTCAGCAATGTTTAAACTTTACAGTAATTTTACATTTTAGAAAAGATTGCTAAGATTATAGTTCATTTGATTCTAAGCCTTCAATTGTCATTTATAAGGGATTTATATAGCATGAATAGTCCTCACTTTAGATTAGTTCACAAAACTGTATGAAGTTGAGTTAATAAAGCATTTATTAACATATTAGTTGACTATTAGTATATGCCTGAATAATAAATAAGTTTGCTTTAAATGCTTTTAATGCTTTAAATAAGTAATTTATCATGTCACTTTCTGTCTAAATTCCAGATCCAGTTAGTAATGTTGCTGTGAACGTGGGCAATCAGCAACCAGTCTATAATCAACCATTCACTCTAACCTGCACTGCCAGTGGAAATGTTGATTACATTCAGTGGGTGTTGAACGGCACAGACCTTCTTCCTCACGATAGAATCACTTTCTCTGGTGACAATTCAACCTTGAGCTTCAATAATCTCACACTCAGTGATAACGGACATTATCAGTGTGAAGCAAGTAACGAGATCAGCAATATGACCAGTTCTGTATATGACCTGGTGGTCAACTGTGAGTAATGCATACATATTTCTAATGTGATTTTTTTTTAAATCAGTGTTCACAGAAATCATTTTCAACATACTGAATATGGTGTCTTTCAGATGGTCCATGGAGGGTAACAATTAATGGCCCAAGCATGGCAGAAACAGGATCCAGTGTGACTTTCAACTGCACTGCTGATTCTCTTCCTGCAAGTCAGTTCAGCTGGTTCTTCAACAGCTCATGGGTGGGAAATGGTCCAGTGTATGTGACTGCACCTCTGTCACAAAACAGTACTGGACAGTACACTTGCATGGCCTTCAATGCCATTACAGGCATCAACAGCAGCTCTTCAGCTGTGCAGTTAACTGTAATTGGTGAGCATCATTTCTACATGTGGGACCATATGCTGCTAAGAGTAAAATTGTAGTCTTAAGTGTATCAATAATTCTAAGAATTACATAATTTTACTTGTGAGATAAATGTGACCTAGGATGACAAAACCATAAGGTAAGGCTTGATAAGGCTTTTAATAAGGCTTAAAAAAGGGTTTAAAAAAATCTAAATATTGAGCAAATTGCTTTTAAAGTTGTCCAAACTAGGTTCTTTTCAATTAATTTTACTAAAAATTAAGTTTTGATAAAACTGTGAGGGGAAATTCAGAAAATGTATTTAATATTCTAATGTTTTTTTTTGCATAACATTAAAATGTATAATTAACTTATACATTTATACATTCTACACATATGCATTAGTGCAGTGGTTCTTAAACTGTGGTACATAAATTATCAAAAATGCTTTATATATGAATATGATGACATAAAGCCTATATTTATGAGATCCAGGCAACATTTCCAGGAGCTGATAAACCTTTTTTCTTTTTTCTTTTCTTTTTAAGAACAGTAACCTTTCATTTTTAACTTTTAAAAGCACATTTTAATTTAAATGTTCTTAATTTTAGGAACTAAAATGCCTTGTTTTTGAACTGTACAGAGCTTTAGCTGCTTTACTGGACCTAATACGCTACTGTATTTCAATGTTGCTCATTGTGGTGGTACTAGCAAAGACAACTTTTTTCTAAGGTGGTACTTGATGAAAAATGTTTGAGAACCACTGCATTAGTGTATTTTTGGCTGTTCCTACATATATACACTCACTAATCACTTTATTAGGTACACCTGTCCAACTGCTTTTTAATGCTAATTTTTAATTAGCCAATCACATGGCAGCAACTTAATGCATTTAGGCATGTAGACATGGTCAAGCCGATCTGCTGCAGTTCAAACTGAGCATCAGAAGGGGAAGTAAGGTTGTGGCATAGTTGTTGGTGCAAGGTGAGCTGGTCTGAGTATTTCAGAAACTGCTGATCCACTGGGATTTGCATGCACAACCATCTTTAAGGTTTACAGAGAATAGTCTAAAAAAGAGAAAATATTCAGTGAGAAGCAATTCTGTGGGCGCAAACACCTTGTTGATGCCAGAGGAGAATGGCCAGACTGGTTTGAACTGATAGAAAGGCAACAGTAACTCAAATAACCACCCGATACAACAGAGGTATGCAGAAAAGCATCTCTGAATGCACAACACGTCCAACCTTGAGACAAATCGACTACAGCAGCAAAAAAATCACACTGGGTGCCACTCCTGTCAGCTAAGAACAGGAAACTGAGGATACAATTAGAACAGGCTCACTAAAATTAAACAATAGAAGACTGGAAAAACGTTGCCTGGTTTGATGAGTTTCGATTTCTGCTGCGACATTCAGATGGTAGGGTCAGAATTTGGCATCAACAACATGAAAGTATGGATCAGGCTGCGTTCAGGCTGCTGGAGTTAGTGTAATAGTGTTTATTGGCACACTTCGGGCCCATTAGTACCAATTAAGCATCATGTCAATGCTACAGCCTACCTGAGTAATGTGTCTGACCATGTCCATCTCTATATGACCACAGTATACCCATCTTCTGTTGGCTACTTTCAGGAGGATAACGTGCCATCTCATAAAGCGAGAATCATCTCAGACTGTTTTTTTGAACATGACAATGAGTTCACTGTACTCAAATGGCCTCCACATTCACCAGATCACAATCCAATAGAGCATCTTTGGGATGTGGTGGAACAGGAGATTTGCATCATGGATATGCCGCCAACAAATCTGCAGCAACTGCGTGATGCTATAATTTCAATTTAGACCAAAATCTCTAAGAAATATTTCCTGTACCATTTAAAAATTCTGGTAACACTTTACAATTTACACTTTACAATCATTAGGTAATGTATTTACTAACATCTAACATATGAACTAATCATGAACAACACTTGTACAGTGTTTATTAATCATAATTGAACATTTACTAATACATTATTAACATTCAAGTCCATGCTTGCTAACATTAGTTAATTCACCATGAGTTAAGATGAACTAACAATGAACTACTGTATTTTCATTAACTAACATTTACTAACATGAATAAATACTGTAGTAAATGTATTATTCATTGTTTGTTCATGGTAGTAAATGCATTTATTAACATTAACTAATGAACCTTATTGTAAAGTGTGACCAAAATTCTAATCATGGGTGTATAGAAATAAGTAATCAGACTACACTTATAATTAAGAAAATAAAGTTCTGTGAATGAGACAATGCTGATTTGTGCTGAATTATACAGCATGTTTTGAACAACAAGAATTGCTTTATATGAGTCACTTTTTCCAGAAACAAATTACATTTGTGTCTTGATTTACTAAAAAATATATCTGGAAATAAGTCTGCGTTTGTCACACATCATATTTCTGATTGTTCAAAAAGTCATCATCTTATGAGAATCATTTGTTGTGGGAATCAGACTTAATTAGTCAAGTTGTACGTTTCTGATTCACAATCAGGACAAAGCAACCTGAACTAAACGCAAAACTCTGTCTCCTCCACAGATGCCATCACCTCAGTGGACGTGACGCCCAGTCCTCTCATTCCTCTGGTTTCTAAAAGCCTGCAGCTCACCTGTAATGTGAATGGACCCTACATCAATCTTTACTGGCTTCGAAACAACAATAATTTCTTCCCATCAAACAGAATTACGTTTTCTGCTGACAACACCACAGTGACCTTCAGTTCATTGCAAACCACTGATGATGGAAGTTACCAGTGTGTCGCCGCCAATGCAATAAGACATCACATCAGTAATCCATATAAACTTATGGTCATCTGTGAGTAACACAAGCCATATTTTAATCCCTTTGAAGCAAATCTGACTCAAAATTAGCTTTTATTTTGCCAAACATCAACCTCTGTGTGTTTGCAGATGGACCACAAAGCGTGCAGATCACTTTGCATCCTGGGATTCCTCCAGTCCTGACATGTCTAGCGGTGTCTCAGCCACCCTCTGTGTATTACTGGATACTCGACAACAACACAGTTGTGGGGGATCAAGCTTCCATTACGATTCCTATCACATCTATCCTGGGCAGCAATTACACCTGTGTGGCCAAAAACCCTCTGACCAACTTGACTCTCTCCATCAGCCAAGTCGTCAGCTGTGAGCATTACTACACATACAGCAGTTAACATGACAAGTAGTTGTTAAAGTGCTCATTAGATGCTTTTTCAGACATTACCTTCCATAGGTTATGCATGAAAGATGTGCAAAGTGCATGATAAAAAAGTTGATGTAAAGTTGAATTAATTCTGAAATGAGTCATCAGGGATTCCATTAGTATAATGTATCTATGTAAATCCGTAACACGTGCAAAATGCAAGCCTGTCCTTTTTACGATTGCATTCATTGTCAAGACACAAGACTAAAATCTATGGATATATTTACTGAAGCTGCGAAGTCAGTCTTCTACTTGCATGATATTTAAACTTTAAATATGCGCCATGTAGAGCTTAAAGGTGCGGTAGGTGATCTGCCAAAATGCTAACCGTTAGCAAAATAGCTTTGAAAACACAAGAGCTGCGTCCCAAATGGCACACTATACACTATGCACTCATGCACTATGTACTTATGCACTTACACACTCAATAGAATAGTATATGTATAGTGTCGCCCCAGTTGGCACACTGATGTTTTTTTTTCTAAGCGGAAATTCGAACCGTTTCATTGATGACGTTTGACGGTTGCCAAATAAGTGAAATAAACAACCAAATTATCAAATTATACCTGCCGTGAGTATAACCGCATTCACCATCAGGAGGCGCTATAATCACTCTTGTAGGAGAATTTTGCTTTCACCATCCAAAATAAATAAAGTTATCTAACATGTGCGCCCCATAGCTCCGCCCCTTCCGCTACGTGAGCAAACCTGTGGTCGTTGAGTGTGTGAAGTGTCCATCATTACACACTTCATTTTAACGGCTGAATGAGTGCATCATCCGGGTAATTAAAGTGCACTTATTATTTTTAGAGTTTTCAGTGTGAACACACTACTTATACTATTTATACTACAAAATGGCGTAGAATAGTGCATACGTATGCGATTTGCGACGCAGCAAATCCCTCCCCTGCCATCCAAAGTCACACCTCCTGAAATCAAGAACTTGCACCGTAAAAGATGACGGTAGACAACTCATTATATTATGTTATTCGCCAGTTTGAAAACTTCATAGTACTTTATAATACTACAATTCTGAATTAGAAAAACTGCATTATATCTACTTAAATCATCAAATAAATCATTTGAGACTCTAAAAAATTAGGTAATTTTAAATGTATATTATGAAGAACTGACAGTGTTTTTGACCTTTATTGCATATAAATCTATTGTAGGAGACCTCCAAAACAAAATGAGGAGCATTTTAAAATGACATAATAGGAGCACTTTAAATGATTGTCATTTCACAGACTGTTTCTTGAAGTAATGAATCACAATGTTCTCTGTCTTTACCGCAGATCCCAACGCAGCTGACAGATTCCAGGCCAGTCATATGCTGATGGGCCTCCTCGTTCTGCTGTTCTCTTTACTACAGGAATGGCTGTAATTCTGAGACTGCTCTCAGGCCTATATATGAGGACTAACTGTCTGAATGAGGCTTGTAGGTATTTATCCCTTAACAGTGAAAAATAAATTAATTACTCCAACCTATGAGGCAATCATAGTTCAGATTAGCTGAACTGCATCTTAATTCTAAAACATTTAAACATTATTTACAGACATGCAGAGTAATTATTAACTGAACACATTTGGCAAACATAAACCAACATACTGCATTATTTTTTTATATATTTATTTCTAAGAACTATAAGTGATCAGTTATTTAACTTGGTACTCTAATTTTATTCATTTGTGAAAAGCTGAACTTTAGAGAGGCTGGCTTATTTCCGTTTGTAGTTTTTTGTTTGGAAAAGCTGACATCTGATTTAAGCAAATGACTTACCTGAAAGAGCAACTATCCTAGCTACCTTTCTGCTTCACTGTTGTTTCTCATATCTTGGAATCAAAAAATCTTTCCTCAAAGAAATATAATGCAAAGTGTTTAAGTATATTCAAAATGATTATTCCGAAGATCAAAAAATGTGAAATCTCATATATTTTCATTAATAAAATTAAATAAAAGCACATTATTCAAATGAACTGCTCTCTTTTATCAGCATGTTTTATTTTTAATTCATTTAAATCTCTTTATCCAATATATAACTTTTTAAAATCTGAAGTTAGAAAACTGGACTGAATAAATGTTACATAATAATACAGATACAAAAATAGTTGAGTATACACGACTTCAGTATGCACTGCTATAGGTATTGTGTAAAAGATGTATAACTTTCTGTGTGACAGTGAATGCCAAAAGGTCTTATATTGGCAAACTGGCTCCTTTGGCGATCTTCTTGTTTGCACCCATAAACTGCAGGCATTTTCTAAATGTCTTAATCTTCTTCTTTAAGCACATGTTTTTCTGCTCTGGGTTGAGGGTTGGTCCTGAAAATAAAGGTAAATTAATAAATAAAAATCTTATTTCAATACTGGCTGTTCGTTTCAAAATAATACACATAAACATGAAGATACAAAGATTTATTTATTGCAATGTTGCCATAGAAGAACTCCCAGCTAATCAGTGAAAACCCTTCAGTTAAAATGAACCAGTTTCTGTGAAGATTTGAATAACCTATATAACCCTTTTTTTTTACAAAGAACAATTTTTTTTTGCAAAATCAGAGCAAAAAACCTTTATTATTAATATAGTATCATTTGCAGCTAGTTTATTTATTCTTTTCCTAATAATACTTGTATAAAAATTGTAAAACCTATATTAGTTAGGCTAGCAGTGTTTGTTTGGAATTGAATTGACTAAATGAGAATAGCAGATGGAAGGGCATCTGCTGTGTAAAAACATGTGCTGGATAAGTTGGCGGATTAATTCAGCTGCATGTGGCAACTCTGGATTAATAAAGTGATTAAGCTGAAAAGAAAATGAATGAATGAAATAATTGAGAATTATGGATTGGATTTTATGTAAATTTTTGGTAAGGGTAACCTTATTTATTAAAATACAGGTTATTATGGGTCTAAAACCTTTTTGGCTGGCCAAGTAGAAATCAAAAACCACTTGTTCAGTCCTTATCACTAAACGGTACAAAAGGTACAGCTCAATGTGACTTAATAGAAATATTATTGGCAGTATAGTAGTGATACTGACCTTTATTCAATAAAAAAGAAAAAAGACTAACCTGCCTTTAACTGGGTAAAAACATGAATCATCAAAATATTCACAAATCACATATTTGTCTGTATAATCAAAAAACGATTAATTATACCTGACCTTAAAGCATTATAGTAAATATAACAAGCAAAGGAAGTGACCATTTAATGCATCATTTTCCTTATCACACCCTTAGCCAGGGGAGGTTTGGGTGGTTCGAAAGACTCACCTCCCACTGACAAAGATCCAGAATTTGCCCAATACATGAGCTCATTTGTCCTATTTTGACTACTATGCCATAATCAATTGTGGAAATAACCTATCGAAGACTTGAAGACCAGGCAGAATCAAATGTAAGTAAAATCAGCTTTCACTACTGACCTGCTCTATTGTTAAATACAGAAAACATGGTAACACTTTACAATAAGGTTCATTAGTTAATGCATTTATTAACATAAACTAATCATGAACAACACTTGTACAGCATTAATTAATCATAATTGAACATTTACTAATGCATTATTAACATTCAAGTCTGTGCTTGTTAACATTAGCTAATGCACCATGAGTTAACATGAACTAACAATGAACTATTATATTTTCATTAACTAACGTTAACTAACATGAACCAATAAAGTAGTAAATGTATCGTTCATTGTTTGTTCATGTTAGAAAATGCATTAATAAACATTAACTAATGAACGAACCTTATTGTAAAGTGTGACCGAAAACATTTTACAAAGAACTTTTATTCTAAATCTTGGAACTTATTCTTGAAAGAAAAAATAATCAATGAAAATATGCAAAGCACGAAAAGCGGCCTATATTAAAGTTAATTTTAATACTAATTAGGCTTTTGTTGTTATCCATGAATTTTCCAATTTACTTCTTTACAAGAGAGGCTAGAAAAAAATAATGAAGTTCTACATCATTAAAATGATGTTTTAATTTTTTTATTTTTTTTATTGAAATGGCCAAATTCTAACTGAGGAAAAAAGTTGATTGTGCTGTCCAGTTTGTTATTTGCCTAATAAATAGCAATAGACTACAATTTTTTTTTCTGAATGATATATTTATTCATTCATTTTCTTTTTGGTTTAGTCCCTTTATCAATCAGGGGTCGCCACAGCAGAATGAACCACAAACTTATCCAGCCTATGTTTTACGCAGCTCATACCACTCCAGCCGCAACCAAACACTGGGAAACACCCATACACACTCATTCACACACATATACTATGGCCAATTTAGCTTATTCAATTCATCTATAGCGCATGTCTTTGCACTGTGGGGGAAACGGGAGCCTGAATGATATATAATGTAATAAATTTGTATTTAAAAAAAAAAAAAAATATATATATATATATATATATATATATATATATATATATATATATATGATTCTAAATCTTTAGAAAATATTTTTGGTTTGATTACCATCCAACAAGCTAATCTAGCTAAAAATAGTGCTTAAAATGTTACTAAATGGAGTATTTAAACCTCATAATTACATACCAAATGGGGCGAAAAATCATTTTCACACGCCTGATTTTTTATGCAGATTTTTATAAGGCTGTTTGTTGTACATTTACTTACCAAACAGACAGATATCTTGGTAAAAGCATCTTGTTTGACTTACTAGATTTATGTGGCATCTCACAGACACAGTTCCGATCCAGAGCAGTTCCCCTCACTACACAAAACAACACATCAGTCAGAAAGAAAGGACTCTCATTTTACATTATAAGCACTTGAATGTCTCACAACACTTTAAGCAGCACATTAGGGCTTCTTGTTTTCTTTTTTGATGACAGGAGAAAGTACTTCACCACTTACCTTGGCAGTTGCATTTCCTAGGCATAGCATGGCCTTTGACCTCTGCAGATTTGTCTGACTTTCCCTCTTGAGGTCGTGCTGCATAAAACAGAAATTGTATTAGAAAAAAGAATGATAATAGTATTAATAATGAATTCAAAATATTATGAGAATTAGAAATATTTCTTTGGCATATACGATACAGTGCTGAGCATATGAGTACGTCCCTCACAAATCTCTCTTTTAAATTCGTATTTTAATAGGAAGCTATACAATATTATCTTTGTGCATATACATTAGATTAGTCAGTACTGAAGCCAAATCTGGAGCTCATCTAACAAAATACCTTATGATAACAGTTCAAAAATAGTACACCAAAATGTCTATGTTTTAGAAAAAATTAAATACAAATTTAAAAAAAGAGGACAAATCAAAGCAAATATGAAAAATGTTGTTGAAATTTATAGGTTGTATTATTATTATTATTTATTTTATTTTTTTGCAATATTTTCCTAGAGTTAAATTGTATTATATTTCAATTTCTAAACATGTTTGGTGAATAAAATATTATTTTAACAAACATATCTTAACAAACATGTTTAATAAATTTATTTTGTTTAAATGCACCAAAATTCATGTCCTGTATTAACTGCATATTGGATAAATTATTCATTTTCGAAATGAGGTGTACTGGGATGGGAAAAAAAGAAACTTTTTATTCACATACAGCCCCCTGAATTATTTGCCCCCCATTAATTTTTTTCCCAATTTCTGTTTAACGGAGAGAAGATTTTTTCAACACATTTCTAAACATAATAGTTTTAATAACTCATTTCTAGTAACTAATTTATTATATATTTGCCATGATGACAGTAAATAATATCTTAGATATTTTTCAAGACACTTTATACAGCTTACAGTGACATTTAAAGGCTTAACTAGGTTAATTTGGTTAACTAGGCAGGTTAGAGTAATTAGGCAAGTTATTGTATAAAGAGGGTTTCTTCTGTAGACTATCGGAAAAAATAGCTTAAAGGGGCTAATAATTTTGTCCTTAAAATGGTGTTTAAAAAATTTATAACTTCTTTTATTCTAGCCAAAGTAAAACAAATAAGATTTTTTGCAGAAGAATAAATATCATCAGACATACTGTGAACATTTCCTTGCTCCGCTAAACATAATTTGGGAAAAATTTTAAAAAGAAAAACAAATTCAAAGGGGGGCTAATAATTCTGACTTTAACTGTCCTTCAACTTTATTTCAGATTATTTATGTATATTTATATTAACACATAACCATGCACAATGCTAAATTTTGTAGATATGTTTTTTCAGAATTAATTGTAACATGTTGATTTGCTGCTATATTGTTTTCACTGTTGCTTGATCTTTAATAATAATTCACAGTAAAATGCTGGAAGAGCACAAATATTAGCTGGAAGAGCAAATATATAGAGAGGAGAGTAAATAGCTGGAAGAGCAAATATATTATATAGATATATTATATAGATATAACTATGTAAATATAATATAAATATACAGTTTATT